ATTTTCGTTTCTCTCGACACTGGGACCCCAAGGGTGCCCCAAAAGAACCCCCCAAAATTCAAATTGCTTCGATTTTGATGAAACTTTGCATGTTTGTTACGCTCTTAAAATGAGATAGAAATCGGTTGTTAGATTTTGAAAAAAATGCATGAACTCTCCCCCCCACATGGATGACACTATAAACCCCTCGATGCCTCAGTTGCTTTTCAAGTGTATTTTGTAGCAGTATTCCAATTTTAACGAAAATTTCAGTACATATTGAGATCATATTGAGTAACTGAAGTAGTCACTTGGAATTCCCTGAAAATCAACACTGTAACCCGGAATTTTCAATTAAGTCTACAGCCTTGACCAGTCGATTAAATAGAAAACTTAAATATGTGCTTTATTATTTCAATTACTATTAGTCTTAAACCTGTCCTTTGGCTTGAAATTTGGGACCCCTAGGGTGAGCCAAAGGACCCCCAAATTTTCAAATCGCGTAGATTTCGACGAAGTATTACATGTATGTTACAATCTTAATGAATCAAAAACGATTATCAGATTTTGAAAACTACATACGGGGCCCCCAAGATGACCCATGAACACCTTGGTGCCCTATTAGTCTCAATTGTACTGGTTAACAGTATTCTGATGATAATTGGCACATTATTTATGTTTAGATCAATCAACTCAAAATCAAAAGTGACACCGTATATTTCATAAATACATTATGAAAAATATCAGTTTTCCATGGGTTTCCAGTTGTGGTACTGAAATAGTTTAGTTTACATTAACTAAACGGCAAAAATGTATCCTTCCTTAAGAAAAAAAAAAAAACGTGCAAACGAAAGTGTGCACCGATGAGAGAAGTGCACGTAGGTATAAGACGCGTGTGCGAGATCAATCGAGATGTGTTGTGTGGACAATTGATGTTTCTCCACGTGAAATGATCGATCGAGTTATGTAGTGCGTACTATCGATTTTGCTTCACGTGTAGTGTTCATTAATGCTATGTGATGAAATAAATGCAAAAAATCTCATTCGCATCAAAGTTGTCATCCAGTAAAAAGGTAGGCTGTCTTCATTCATGTATATTTTTGTGCAATGGTTAACTAGACGAAGAAGGAACGCTGCCAGAACTACTGCTTCTCGAGCTGTCGAAACTGAGCGGCAAAGAACAATTCTATACAGTCTTTGTGAACGTTGTTTCTCAGCCTTATCACGGCTGCTAGAAGTCTTTGTTGAATTTCTTATCCTTCCAATTTGTGTTGTTCATTCGATGTAGTTTGAGCAAAAGCTGTCAACAAAGCATTTCTCCTCAAAAATTTTCGAAGATCGATTGCGATTAATGTACTTTTCATTTGCTGACAATTTTTTTGTATCTTCTGTAAAAACAACTTTCTCCTGTTATAAATGTTTTCACACTTCATGTCATAATTTTTCGCCATATAGTTAAGAGGCACTAAAGAAAAATATTTATTTTAACTTTACAGATTTGATGAGGTTAGTGATCTATTTTTGAATAAACCCAGGCAACGCCGGGTAATGCTGCTAGTTTATTATATTTTATTATACACAAACTGTACCAGAAAATGTTCAGTAATTTTAATACTTCTTTTTAATTGGTTAATTATACGAAGGTAGGTAATACACTGTCTTAGGCAAACCAAATATTATTCTTGTGAGTGTTGATAAGCCGAGTTAAGCAAGATTCAAATTCAGTGAAAGTAGTTTGCATCGAGATTATAAACTGCTTGAATAGTAAATATTGCACGGTTCTTCATATCATCGCAACAGCCATAAACAATACGCCAATGTTTTTCTACAGAATAATCAGTCTAGTATTTTTTATTTCATCAACAGTCTAGTTATTTACTTTTACAGAAAAATTGTATTAAGAAAAAAATTTATAAATTTCTACTGAGAGAATTATTGGCTGTTCGCTCAATGAATATCAAATACTTCTTTATAAGGAGACTTCTAATATGTCGATTATCTCCAAGATATAGGGTTTCAGAATTACCGCTTTTCTTGAAGATAAGGATAATACTGACCAGTATTATAATAAGGATGATTTAATAAAGCGCATAAAATTCTGTTAATCCCCAATGATAAAATGCTCATTAACGGTGCAAATTCATGTTAAGATTAATTCGTTAGCGTTTTAATGTTTAAAAGTAAATGAGTCATGGTAAATATAGAACAAATGAAAGCACGTTGTTATTTTTGAGTGTCAAAGTAAAAGCTGAATTCCTCTAACCTGAATCATCTCGAAGGAGACGTTAATTTCTTCCATAATTCTATTACTCCTGCCTTTGATTTCTTTCATACTCCTTGAAGACCACAGGAGCTTGAAATTATTGTTTGCTGGATCGGTAATAGATAAAGAAAGATCCCACTGGGCAATTCCAATAACATAATAACTGACAGAAAGACAGGAAACGCCATAATATGGCATCAGAGGAGACAGAATTGTAGCTTCTTCACCGTCCTTAAATGAAAAGAAAACAATTAAAAAATACAGTTTTCAAGATATTGAACTATATTTGTTTTTAATCTTTGTGTTTATTAATTTGAAAGCGCAATAATTTCATTCCCTTGCAGTTATATAAGGGAAGATAATTCTAGTAATGACCTGCGTAACAATTCCTTTTAAGGGCACAATGACAAGAATAAATTCTAACTTGTGAGTGAAGATGATTTCCATTTTCTTCAGAAACATTTTTAATGAAAAATAATTATATTTCATTATACAGGGTGTATTAAAAATATTTTACAAAGATTTGGAGAGGGTTTCTCACACCAAAATAAGGATAAAAGTTCATATAAACATATGTCCACAAATTCTTCATTTTTGAAGTTAAGTCTTCGTGGTCCGGTGTACGAACGAATGTGTTTATATGGGCATTTGTCCTTATGTTGGCTTGAGGAATACGCCCCGAACGTTTGCAAAAGTATTTCAGATAAATCCTGTATACTCCCCAGTATTTCTTATGGCTTGTTGCTTTATATCCAATAACTCTTGGACAACTTTTCAGTAGATTTCTGTTAGAAAAGGTTTTCTCCCTTTAAAACAGAAAACCCACCTTAGATTTTGGTTCCATTTATGGAGATTTATCCTTGTCAGTCTGACTTTTGCATGCAACCCAAATTCCATCACTTGTGAGATATAAAGAACGGATTATTTCTGTTGTGAAAAGTGACTTTATGCACAAGCGATCCGTTTTGTTCATTTCTCTGAGAAGTGGTTAATCTTGATTTTCTAATAATCACAACAATAATAATTTGAAATCAAATGTAAAAAATGTGGCACATGAGAACATCAACAATCCCTGTTGTATTTCGAGCCCTCAGATTGGTTGGAATAGATCCCAGTAGACTAATTGAAGGGATTCCTGGAAGGCCATGCCTTAAAGAAATACGAAAAAAATGTTCTTATGAAGGGATTTATCTTTGCAAAAAATGTTCTTTACGAAGGGTTTTATCTTTGCAAAAAGATATTTTTTTGTCATTGGAAAATGTCATGGAATTCCTATCCTCAGGTATCTGAGTCCAAAGAGAGAGAAAAAAAACTCTAGACAAACAAACAACTCCGAACGAGCAAAGAAACAATTATTATTTTAGGCTACTGAGTTCAATTTAATTTAGACCATGAAAGCCCGATGGAAGGGTTTATCACTAAACCTTCGTAAATTAATAAAATAATTGGCCAGCCATTTATGAGTCCTGAACCTAAATACTACATAGTATTTCGTGTTTCCATAGCGTTGAAATCTTTGTTCAAAACATTAGAATTAACATTCTATCTCTTCATTATTGGGATTATGTAATTTATCATTTTAAAATATGTGAACAATTTAACTGACGTGCAAAAACTAAGGCATGTTGATGTATTCCAAATTTACCCTTAATAGCAATGAATAATTAATATTTGGACGATATATGCATCATTACAATTGGTACCAACCAAAAACTTGAATGGATCAAGCTTGGGTAAAACTATGGCTCAAACAAGTGAATATAACACCTGGTTTGATTTAGATTTGGCAACAGAAATATATATATATATAACCTATCCTCTCTGCAGAGATTTGTTGCCAAATCTAAATCAAACCAGGTGTTATATATATATATACACACACATGGCAAATTTTAACTAAATGATAGAAATAGGCAGAATAATTGGCTAAGGGATAAAAGCTTACTTTAATCTGCAATTTTCTATCTTCAATTGAGCAAGTGATAAATGAATAAAGTTTAATTTTATACGTCTTCAGCAATCAACATTATGTTTGAGTTTACATAAAAGTAATCGAGTACATTTGACTTGACTACACACATTGCAACTCATTTTCTCATATCAAAGGCTAAAAGAGGGTTTGACTGAAGACTGTTGGTCTTTGTGACAATCATGCTTTAGAACCTTGTGATCTGGCGCTACAGAATCACAAGCAAAAAATGCCAAATCAACAACATAAATTGATGTGTCAACAGATGAAACAACTAAAATAGATAGCACATTTAAAGGAGAGAGAATATAATGGCAATCAAGATATTGACGTTCTAGAGAACTTCAAACAAAAGGGTTAGGAAGGAATCCCCCCCTATCAATGATGGAAGGAGTGATAACGGCTTGAGAAATGTATTTTCCAGAAAAATACTGAAATATTCATATGATATTTAAATAAGATCGATTTCCCAATAATCGTAAACAATTTTTGTCGAGAGCAGGTGTAAATTGATAATTAAGATAATATCGGTTCAATATTTGTTTTAATGTCATGTGTCATTTTCAGAGGAGTCAAAAGAGAAAGAGATCACTACGGATGCTTTAGTTCAGAAGAATCGGTGGAGGATGAGCCTTAGCAATAAGAACAGCTTCCATTTTATTATGGAATTAAATTGAATTTCATTTAATAAAATAATCTGAAAAATATAAAAAGGCATGAAGAAAATTGCGTCGAGTTAAAATATTCCGAATTCTCAGCCTAAGTTGCTTGACATTAAGTGCGAACGTGTCATTCACAATCACGGAAAAAAAAAAAAGAGAGAGAGAGAAAAGAAAGAGAGAGACAGAGAAAGAGAGACAGTGAGAAAGAGACAGAGAGAAAGAGAGACAGTGAGAAGAGAGACAGAGAGAAAGAGAGACAGTGAGAAAAGAGAGACAGTGAGAGAAAGAGAGACAGGAGAGAAAGAGAGTGACAGTGAGAGAAAGAGAGACAGTGAGAGAAAGAGAGACAGTGAGAGAGAAGAGACAGGAGAGAAAGAGACAGTGAGAGAAAGAGAGACAGTGAGAAAGAGAGACAGTGAGAGAAAGAGAGACAGGAGAGAGAGAGACAGTGAGAAAGAGAGACAGTGAGTGAAGAGAGAGAGAGAGAGAAAGAGAGACAGGAGAGAAAGAGAGACAGTGAGAGAAAGAGAGACAGAAAGAGAGAAAGAGAGACACAGAGAGAAAGAGAGACAGTGAGAGAAAGAGAGACAGTGAGAGAAGAGAGACAGTGAGAGAGACAGTGAGAAAAGAGAGACAAGAGAGAGACAGTGAGAAAGAGACAGTGAGAGAAAGAGAGACAGTGAGAGAAAGAGAGACAGGAGAGAAAGAGAGAGAAAAGGAGAAAGAGAGACAGTGAGAGAAAGAGAGACAGTGAGAAAAGAGAGACAGTGAGAGAAAGAGAGACAGTGAGAAAGAAAGAGAGACAGTGAGAGAAAGAGAGAGTGAGAGACAGTGAGAGAAAGAGAGACAGTGAGAGAAAGAGAGACAGTGAGAGAAAGAGAGACAGTGAGAGAAAGAGAGACAGTGAGAGAAAGAGAGACAGTGAGAGAAAGAGAGACAGTGAGAGAAAGAGAGACAGTGAGAGAAAGAGAGAGTTTTGACGTACATGTTCACATACCTTTAATAACCATGTAAAAATCAACAATGATCCAATTAGGCTGGCATCTCCAGATAGGGAGGAAGTTATGACTTTTGCAACTGATTGAGGATGCCAAGTAAAATTACATGCATCTTCCTCAAAGGCACAATCTATTTGTGTCACTGAAAACGATAAGAATTACAAAGTCATTTTTCTATTAAAGTGAAAACATCTAATTTGGTATGCCACTTACAAGGCATATAAAAAAAAAGTTAATTCATGCCTTATTTCCGGTTAAAGGTACATCAATCGATTAATTACGTCTTTCAATTAGTGCGGTTTCTTGGGAGGGGTACAGAATATATTTTATATATCATGCATCAAGGTATAAACCATTTTACTTTAAGATTTGGTGAGGTAGCATGCACATTATTTCAACTTTAATCTATTATGGATATTGAATTAAAATAAGTTTCAGTTATCCTATATAGAAACTAAATGCAAAATACATTCGACTGAATCTTACCAATTCTTTTAGCTACAGTTGCCTTCTGTGTGGATGCTTGACATATTCCGTTTTTTATGCTAATGTCATCAATAGCAATATCCCCTGAGGCACCTGGACCGACAGTAGCTTCAATTAAAATCTGTATAATAATAAAAATAATAATTAAAAACACTATGGGACAAATGAATTGTTATACATGCAAAAAAATCGTTTGAAGAATATAAAAAGAAAAAAATGGCAATGGTTGTATTATCCTACTTTTCGCCAAAGAATTTCTGCTAACGGCCACAAGATGACCTTGCCAATGGAGTATTTATAAGAACATTACAGATTCCTATACTTTTCTAAAACGAGGCCTTAGTGATCTAGATTTCTTACACCTCTGACGTCATTTTGCTCCCCAGTGAACACAAACAGTAAAATCTACAATACACTAATTTTAATCGATTACGTACAGGCGTATTTAATAATACTGTCAATAAATAACATACACTTACACCATATATCGCTGTCATTCAGCTGAACTTTTTTTCCTCACACGCATACACTTCTGTATTCTTTCTGTCTCGCGTGTTCAGATACTAAAATATTAATTTTACATAGTATTTTGTATATGCCGTCTTACGAAGATACTCCCCAATGAGTCTTCTATTCCATCAACAAATATCTTATAAACAGCATATTAGATTCGGAATTTAGAAATATCTAACATCTTTATAATCACAATCCTACGGAAAAACGCACGATTGTTTACCAGTTACCGAGAAAAAAAATAATATTCAGCATGCTCTTTCATGGATTATTTCTCATCGTCTATTAGGAATAGATAATAGAGTAGAATCTATCTATAACGTCACATATATGACAAAGTAAGCTTGAAGATTTGGAGAAGGGATGATGTGCCCTTCATTTCCTTTGAGGTTGCGCCGGGTGATTTCCTGTGATTTCTCGAGACGAGAGATATATGAATTAAATCGAGTATATATGGAGAGATAGAGAGAGAGAGATTTTATTGTAACAAAGCTAAATAGAGAGGATATAAAATATAAAAGTGTGGGTATGTACATAGGCAGCATATTTTCATTCAAACAGGTTTGGTTAATAATTTTAAATAGTTCAATTTCAGAGCATTCCAAGGAACAGTCGTATCCATATTCACAGTTTAGACATTAGTTGAAAATAAATCAATATTCCAAAATAATATGAAGCAACAAAGTTCGTAAATGCTTGTAGAAGCAAATTTTACATAACTTTGCATTTACAAAAAAATTAAGATCTTTTTGTTGCTGTACTCATAGTTGAATTTATCTTTGGCGTTAATTTTCCCTATTCTTTTAGAGTTTTAAGTTCTTGCTTATTGATGTATTTTCAATAAATATCTACGTAAACAGAAAGTAGATATACCTACACATTTAAATTTTATATTCGTTCTATTCAGATTTGATTATGTCACAATAAAATATGATTATATATTTATTATATACGAGACAATGCTTGAATTTCCCCCTGGAACGCAATACAAATATTGTGTATTTATGGAATTACGCATACACATCCACACACAATTTAAGCCCCTGAAGAATGTCTCAGATGAGATTGAAATTACTTGGGAAAATAAAAATTATTTCAAAGGAAATTGGCATTTCTCATGATTAGTTTTCTACGGCCACCAAGAAATTAATTCGGGGACTCGAAATGATTAACACACTCACACAGAGTCGTTATGTCTAAATACAGTGTGTTTAGAGTCTTTTTGAAGATACTGAGTCTTAAAAAGACTTTCTTTCTGGAAATGCCTTAAACCGGTAAGTATGTTACTGCCACGTGACACTTGGTTAACTAGACTCAGAAATCTTCCGGAAGGGGACAAGATGTCTTAAACTTCTGTCGTAGAAGTAGTGTGTGTTCTACCAGTTTTAAGATTTAGTCATGGTGTCGTAGGAACTATTCAATAAAATTAATAGATCACCTCAATCTCTTGTTAGCTTTACTGTATTCATAATCAAGAAATTCGAATTACAGCAATCTGAGGGTTTCTCACCTTTTTATGTAACCACCATATTACACCAGTGATGAGATTTCTGACGATAGGGTGACTAATTGATTAGCCCACCCATTTTCTCAGGCGGCCAACCAATCCCTGGTCAAGCTCAAGGATATTTATATTCACCTACGGAGCTCACGTGTGGTTTTTACAGAAACTACAAGCGGATCTTTATTGTTATTCCTGCGAGAGCGTATAATCTGGCGTGATGGGTAATGTGAACAAGGGCAGTATTTAACACCCTCGGTTATTGTGTTTAAGGACAAAATCAACTGATCGAGGTCATTTCCGTATAACCAATTTCACATTTGGGGCAAACTGCGATGTGGTTTCCAGGCACAGCATTTTCCAAGGGTGTCACTTCCCTAGATCGATAAAATGAAGTCGCCTCACTGACAAATCGAACATGGTAAGATTTGAAGCCGGGCTTCATATTTGGAAGGCCTACGATCTAACCACCCCGCCACACACATGTCCATGTACAGATAAATTACCTACTACCATACAGAGAGTTCAGATGGTAGATACACAGACATTTACGTACCAGACAAGTGCATCTCTGGATATTTGCGTCCGAAGACAAATCCGCCCCGGATAATTACATACCTCCGATAATTTTCTCAAGTTACTTTATTGTTTTTTTTAAAGATAAGTTTAATATAGAAATTTGCGCACAATCACCTTTAATTACTCTAAATGAGCAGAAAGGTTGTTACCATAAATAAAGGGAGATTAATTTCTTTTTTAAAGCAAGAGAAAATTAAAGTCGCCATTTCAGGTGACTCTAGCAGTGCGTACCTCAAATATCTAAAAGATTCTGAATTTTAGAGATTATATTTATATTTGGAACCTTAGTTCCGAAAATCAAACACTGGTAGAAAAATATTTGTGGACTAACATAAGAAAAACGCCTATGAAACAAACAACCCTCCCCCCCAAAAAAAAACAAACATTCATAATGTGTAGAGCGATCTTACAGCATTTTCTCTCGTTGAATTTTAAACAAAAATAAATAAATTGTTAATTTTGTTCCATTTTAAAAAAAATATGATTACTACCTAAGATTTTATTTTATTTTTTCAAAATTTATGGTAATTGCCTTTAAAAGTCTATCAGAGGTACGCAATTATCCAGGGACGCATTTGTCCAAGGAACCAAATGTCCGAAGCAGCATTTGTCTGGCACGCAATTACCCGGGAGGTAACTGTCGTACATTCAACGCAGAGGTCACAGGAAAGTTCATTTCCTATTAATGCTACTTGAATAATTGCTATAAAATTTTCTAGCTTATGTGTTACCATAGGAAAAGCATAATCTTAAATCAGACATTTGCAAGTGTTTATAAAAAATATGAAAACGTATCTGAAGAATAATGATCCTTATTCAATTAGAAATTAAATATTTTAAGTACTATTATTACTTGGTTTACATTGTAGCTCCTAAAAGGTGTTACTCAGCTGCCGATGTAGAGTTGGTGTATTGAAGATTACGTCGACTGGGCAGTATTCAAAAATAGATGTACATCAAAAGTTTACTAACCTTAAATGGAAGAGGAACTTCAAGGAAGAAAGCATAGCTTTTCCAATCAATACCTTTGGATCCTTTTTCCTGGAAAACTTCTAGAATATCCCCTGTCTCAGTGATTAACTTCATAGTCAACTGTCCAACTGATCTGCCGTACATATTGTAATGGACTGTGATACATTTATTACCCGCTGAAAGATCAATATATCGATATTAGAAATCAATGCTTCTACAGTCAGAATGTAGAATTGCAAACAAAATGAATAATTACAGATTTTATGCAATATGTACGCCCGGAAATTATTCAACCATTTTGAATATTTCGTCATTTTTTTAGTCCTAACAACAACTGAAAAGTTACAAGCTTATTTGTAGAAAATGAAACGACCTAGCAAGGCTGTGTTCTGGCCGTCTGATTCACTGCAAATAGAGATGTTTGGTTCGAGATTTTGTGTGCATGTTCGCAGAGGATAGATGAATGGCTTCCAAGGATTCGTTGGGTCTAGGCTGAATAAGAAATTCACGATGTATTTCTTAAAATGGTTTTGGAATCTTGAAATTCAAGATATGAAAAGATTCTCAAAAGCAACGTTGAACCCATGCTGAAAAGAAATCCACAACTGACTTGGCGAAAATTACAAAAATATCCGAGTATTCCATCGAATTTCCTGAAAGTATTTATCTATTTTGACTTTTCTAAGAAAATAAAAAAAATATAAACTTAAATCAACAAATTCCAATACTGAATTTATCTAAAACGGTTGTCTTTCAAACGCGTAAGATTTGAAAGAGAGCTTCTTTTATACTGTAGATGTGATCAAGTGGAATGCGACGAGAGAATTGATACCTATAACATCCCCCACACTTTTTTTTTAGTGAAAACGAAACAGGAATAATTGTATGATCTCCCAAGGTGAATATTGAAAAGGCAGGGGTTGACTGACTTATGTTAACATCGATTGATATTAGAAAGCTGTATACTTAATCATTTCCAGACAGATATTTTGTAATATGAAGTGTACTTAGAATCATATATCTGTACATGGACATGTGTGGCGGGGTGGTTAGATCGTAGGCCTTCCAAATATGAAGCCCGGCTTCAAATCTTACCATATACAGTAGGTTTGTTTTGGTTTGATTTACAGCATATTATCCTGAGTGCGTTATTTAATGCCGACAAGATTTTTATTGCTGGTAATATTTAAAAAAAAAAAAAAAAAAAAAAAAAAATGAAGTGCTGTTAATAAATTTTCCAAAAGTATTACTGGTATTAAAAACTATTTTATACTTTCATAGTGTTTTGACTATATATTTTTTTTTTTTTGGCGGTGGGTAGTTAAGTTTTTGCCCATAGATGAGACTGTCAGGTGCTACCACACCGGATCAGGGTGGATCTGGGAACAGCAACAAGTATTGGTTCCAAGCTTCTCAAACCATATTGGTCGAAAGCCTTACTGTCGGATGCACTTTAGCGTGTTACCTAAGACGGCCACAAGGAGGTCATTGCTCGAAATTATTTTTATCATTTACACAGTCACAAAAATGTTAATCAGTACGTGAACAATTATTTGAATTGCAGCTTCAATCTAAGCAATACCATATACAAAGTAGAAATAATTACGTAATTTCAAAGATCGGCGAAAAAAAAAAAAAAAAATGTTGTGACATTCAAAATCTACGTATTACTAGCCCAGGGAGAATGTTTTTTTTAACTACCCTATAAAATTACCAAATTTTAAAATTACTAGAATATGTATATATTGCAGAGTTTGAGAATTAACGCCTCTAAACAGAAAAAAATATGTACTAAAAATCAATTTATGTGTGTTGCCATGACTTATTGATATGTACTTTTTATTCATGTGTATAACTATCAGTATTTCCGATTTTTTTGTACTTTCTGAAGAAAGAAAAGTGAAAATTTAAGACATTCAGCGACATCACGATCGCCTCGACAAGAACAAATATATTGATTTTATTTATCAGTTATGAAAGCGGCTTATTGGCAAATGAGAAAAGGCTCTGGTCAGTAAAGTCATTCCATTTTAAAGTGACAAAAATCATTTAATCAATTTGCCATAAAATATTTAAGTATTGTCTACATAGACAGCATATAGTTAAGAGTAAAAATCTTGAAGCAGTAATAAAAGGAATATTTAATGCTTATTTAACTAGCAAATAACTGACCTGGGAAAGATAACAGTAACTGAATATAAATATTTCTACCGTATAAAGCGGCCGAAGTAGACTTATTAAGCGTATGTGGTGATGAGAGCGTTTAATAATGCTGTTTCATAGGCATAGATACAACAGTTTTTGCTGAATTAAAAATACTCAAGACTATTGCCACGCCAAATAAAAGATTAAGCCACATCATTCGCTACAATCGATAAATGATTATTGTAATGTGCATGAGATCAGAACAGTTGAAAGAATCTAGGCACAAAACATACAAATAAAAGGCATCTAGTTACAGGACGATCAGCAGATAAAGACACCCATACACACGATATACCTAATAACTATGCTATCATTTTATATACAGTGATGCTGCCTTTTTATATACAGTGATGCCTCCGGTTTTAGGTGCAGTGCTTCTTTGTGCTTTGACTATTTTATGTTTAAAATTACTAACATTATTTTCGTGCGTGTCTTGCGGAAAGGGAGTGTTATAATATCAATGCCCGTTTTTTTTTTTTGTCGTCCAATACAGTACATTTTAAATTACAGCAGACTTGTTCTAAAATTGATTCCTGAACATTTCTCCCTAAAAGATAACTTTCTTTCGAACAATCAATTACAAATCAAAATACAGTAAAAGGGAAGCTACTTTTCCCTTAATCTATACATTGAATACAAATTATTGTATTTCGTTCGTGTGTTTTATTTCAATATATACTTGTTGAATCATATTTGTAGTTTCGTTGTTTTCTTGAATCATCAATAATACAAACGGCATATGCGTTAAAGAACACGCCCACAACAGTAAGTGCGGAGCAATTCAAAGGCAGTATTAAGCAGTTCACCTTTAAACTATTTTCCTGGCGTTGACGTGTAAATACGTTTTCACTGAAAGTGTATTTTTCCGACACGCACGAATAAATAAAGTTCTAAAACGAGCTACAGACGTGGATATATGTCGATTTTTATACTTTTTATCCCCTTCTGAGTTTTTAACGTGTCCGATTGTCTATAGAGGTGTAGTTGTTGGTACAATCCGCGACGTCTTACGAAACTTCCTGAACAAAAAACAATATTTTCTTGATACGCCTAGTGTAAAACCGCAACGACTGAAACTCCTTCAATCCTCAATCTTCCGTGCCTCTGCTTTCTCCTTTACACGATTCTCCTTCCACGTTACAAAAGACTCCATTTTTCTAACTGCCCAGACGCCGGCGTTCAGCGTTTTTATCTCCTTTTCTGCCTTTCTTTATTTGCATGCGTGAATCCACTTTCCGTGGCTTTACGAGACTGTCAGCGGGAGGATATGTGACCATTCGCAATACAAGCATACTGGAGGCGGCCATGTTTCTTTTTCCGGTCAAAAAGATAAACCTTGCACGCGGAACATACGCTGCCGTTTGCGATCAGGTGGGAGAATATTTTCGTTCCAATTATCAATATAAGAGGTGCTATCACAAGTCACCACGCATCCAAGGGGAAGACAAGACAAGTCAAGTCACCACGCATCCAAGGGGAAGACAAGACAAGTCAAGTCACCACGCATCCAAGGGGAAGACAAGACAAGTCAAGTCACCACGCATCCAAGGGGAAGACAAGACAAGTCAAGTCACCACGCATCCAAGGGAAGACAAGACAAGTCAAGTCACCACGCATCCAAGGGAAGACAAGACAAGTCAAGTCACCACGCATCCAAGGGGAAGACAAGACAAGTCAAGTCACCACGCATCCAAGGGGAAGACAAGACAAGTCAAGTCACCACGCATCCAAGGGGAAGACAAGACCAAAGACAAGACAAGTCACCACGCATCCAAGGGGAAGACAAGACAAGTCAAGTCACCACGCATCCAAGGGAAGACAAGACAAGTCAAGTCACCACGCATCCACGCATCCAAGGGGAAGACAAGACAAGTCAAGTCACCACGCATCCAAGGGAAGACAAGACAAGTCAAGTCACCACGCATCCAAGGGGAAGACAAGTCAAGTCACCACGCATCCAAGGGGAAGACAAGTCAAGTCACCACGCATCCAAGGGGAAGACAAGTCAAGTCACCACGCATCCAAGGGGAAGACAAGACAAGTCAAGTCACCACGCATCCAAGGGAAGACAAGACAAGTCAAGTCACCACGCATCCAAGGGGAAGAAGACAAGTCAAGTCACCACGCATCCAAGGGGGAAGACAAGACAAGTCAAGTCACCACGCATCCAAGGGAAGACAAGACAAGTCAAGTCACCACGCATCCAAGGGGAAGACAAGACAAGTCAAGTCACCACGCATCCAAGGGGAAGACAAGACAATTCAAGTCACCACGCATCCAAGGGGAAGACAAGTCACCAGACATTCAACGGTCTTAGTTTATATTTGACGTGATTTAATTTACCAAATCTTATTTAATGTGCTCTCATTTCAAAAATATCCTTCATGCATATTACAACTTCAGAATTGAGTTGCTCTTTTTTGTATCAAAAGGAAATTTTTGATAAGGATAACACTAACTAAATATCAGGGATTTTCTTTAAAATATTAACTGGTAGTATCATTGGTTGATTGTGTTAAGCGGCATATCAACATCTACGGCTTATTTAATGCTGGAATGTAAATGTTTTGAACAGTTTTATGACTTCGACTACAGACAAAATGTAGTGTTAGTCACTCCACTTTAAAAATGTATTTTTGGTAAAAAGAACCAGCTGATGTAATCGGAAGCTGCAGATGTTACATCAGAGGTAACATTATTGGATACGAGAAATTATCAACAATGTGGATTTACTATGTGTCTGGACACGAAGTTATTAACGTCACTGCTCCTAGGCGAGTTGGTATAACTTATGCTAAACTCAATTTCAGACACTGACACACACAGATAGATACACAGACACAGATAGACACACACAGACAGAGTGCGCCTTGTATACAAGGCTCAATTTACCAAGTAAAATCTACATATAGATTCGAAAATGTCGGACTGAATCTGTGGGATGAGAATGTATTTATATTAAATGAGGTACACAATCTATTATGATAATAAAATCGGACATAATTAAAAAGTCAACTACAGAAAAAAATCACAACTACCGTAGTTTGTACGAAAAAAAAAAAAAAAAAAAAAAGGGAGTAAAATTGGAATGCGATATGAAGTTGGTGAACACATTTCAATATTTATCCAGCCCGGACACTTTACATTTTACTCTTGGAACCGCGTTTATTTTTCATACCAAATACGATAGTTTTCAATTTTCTGTAATTTACTTTTTAATCATTCACTTCTTTATTGCCATAATTATTTTTCAATACTTGACTCAGGGAATCGTTGGAACCACAGCAGGCAATAACTGAGAAGTACTAAATAAGAACTAGATATCTCTAGAGAGGGTCAGCGTCAAGGAGATTAAATGATATGTTCAGCTTGTAATCCCGTGTAGGCTGACCTATTGACAAACACTTAGGGTTGAACGGGGGGGGGACGTCGGAACAACGACAGAAACATTGCGATAGCGAAAAAAAAAAAAAACAAAAAAAACATTTAAATTATCGAACCTATAGGTGATTTTACTTGGCAGGTAACGAAAGGAGAAGTTTTTTCATGTTAATATAAATAAAAATCCGTCCGTGTTCGGGTAAAAACGTGTGTAACGTAAAATATTTATAACAAAAATCAAATAGAAACATGGATAAGTATAGAAATGTGAGAAGTAATTCTATATTTAATGCATATAACGATACGAGCTTGAAATCTGCCATAGTCAGGATTAATTCTGCTATTTCCTAAGAAGTTGTTTTCCAAACATTAAGAAATATTAGAAATTTCCACCTTAAAAAAATATTGAAATAATCTGCGAAATAAGAGAAAGAGTAGAACACTAAAAATTGATCTATGCTAAATTGGGGTTTAAGCTGGATGAGAATTAACTACATTTGCAGAAAATACTTATTCGCTATGACATTTCTTAAAAGCTATTTTCTGTTCATCTATTTCTGTCGGGTAGTAAGTTATTTAGTGAGCAAGTGGACGAAGATCATAATGGTGTAGGATGTCAACTGACACTGGAGAAAAAAAAAAATAAAAGAATTCATTTAATACTTTGAAAAAGATTTTTTTAAAAAAAAGCGAGAAAAAAAAAAAAAAAAAAAAAAAAACACAGGCTTACCAGGAATATATCTGCTTTCTAATATGGCCGCATCTCCCGGACGACGAGGAAAAGAAGTTTCGATGTATAAATAGCGTTTAGAGCCATTATTCCCGCTCACAGGACCGGTGTATTTTGATGGAGTTGGACCCTGAAATAAGACGTAATATCATCAATCTTATTTACTTTCCCAGAGAGTTAATTGTTCGATAATAAAATTAAGTCCCTCAAAATTGCTTCCGGCAAAATAGCATTATCCTATATTCCCCAGGTTAATCAAGGAGGGCACTGTCTTAGTTAATTAAATTTCTGTTACGCATTAGGAAACTAATTTATTATTGATCTGAAAAGATCAATATATATATATATATATATATATATATATATATATATATCCTTAGTAATGCGGATATCATGTGTTTGTATTCGCAAAAACAGACATTCTTTACATTCAGGCACTTTTCCAAACGTGACATATGTATTGTTTCAGTCATTCTAACAGAATGATTCTTTTCAGGTAGATACGTGTTAATTCGTATGCGAAACTGATTAACAATGTAAAAGGACTCGTCATTAATTTGTACAAGCAATCAAGTTTAAAGCCACAGTTTAAATATTTAACCGTGTAAAATCAAAATGCTAAAAATGCATTTTGAAACAAATTTTGGGGAAACGGATTCCTCAGTCATAGTTTTAAAAGGTCGTAACTATGATCAGTAAAACGAATTGAATAATCTTTAATGCTTGGAATATTAATTTATAATTGCATTATAAGGCATTTTTAAGAGTATAAACAGACAATAAGAATTCTTATACTTTACTTACCAAGATAATGTTAGTAATGAAATTTGAAATTATTCTTAAGTTTGCTACATATTAGAGACCACACAAAAAATTCAGATTATCAAGACAAATACAAAAAGAAAATATGGAACGTGCTCGAAGTAAATACATTACTTGGTTCTGCCAGTCGTAACATTCACGGCTAGGATCCGCTTTGACACTTATATTGTGGTAAACCGTTGCATTCCCTTCGTATTCCATCGGTGAGTTCAACTTGAACATCATCTTCCCGCGAACCACTGCCATGTGGAACAGTCATCCAAGAGGATGTTTTCCCGATCACTACAATCTAAACCTGTTCAAGTCCAGGGTTAACCGCTATCTCCTCTTACTATCCGTATAAACTCTCTTAATGTAACCATACTTCGAAGGTCCCCGGCCTTTGTCCAGGGCGAACCTCTTTAAAATTTAAAAAAAAAAGAAAAAAAATCTACGATTTGGTTAAATGAATATCCAGGCCTGTTTTTAATATATTCACACACTCGCCATCTTCTGACAACCTGTGCCTGAAACGGAGTTGTTGAAGATGTGAAAAAGGAAGTGTAGTACTTTATCTTATAAAGGGATTCCTTTTCTATACACTGAGCATTTACACTATATTTCACTACGAACATTTGAGGCTTTTCTCAATTACAGTTCACTATTTTATCGGAAAAAATAGTTACTTCAGGACTTACTAAAACTGGTATCTTATGATATATCCAATTTTGCCAGTGGCAAAATATATAGAATAAAGGCTGTTTCATTGAAACCAACTTGAATGTTTTGCTCATTATCCTTAACTATCAGAAACTATATATCCGTCACCTATATTCTCATTACAGTTGAAATAATACTACTTTGCAGATTTGTAGCGTAATTCTATTATGGAATTGGTATATTCATGTTCCAGTAATTTTGGAGGAACTTTATTAAAACCTAAATTATAACTACATAATCTACACATGGAACACGTACACTTACTCTTCAATCTGTATCTTCACAGCCGAATTTCAGAAATAACTTAAAATTATATGGAGAAAGCGTGTATTACATTAAAGTCATTTTAAGATGAAATCCATATCAGAAATTGACCATCAATTTGCACAACATTTACAGAGTAATTCACTTGTATCTTCAATTGTCTCACGATTTCAATAATTAGTCACATGATTAAATACTTTAAAAAGGAACTATTTCGTTTTTGTTTGATTTCATCTACAAAATGGACAATTAGATTTGCTAGGATTGTTCAAACCACAAAATAGGTTGAATATTAATGTTTCCTTTTCCGCCTAAACATAACACATTACCAAGTGTATCGTTCCCTTTATTAGACTCTCTGCACAGAGTAGCATTATCAGACTTATAAAAATGAATATCAAAGATTCGTTAAATATATGGCTTCTCTAAAGAAATACAAAATATACAGTGTTTCGCTGTTTCTTGAAGCATAAACTGAATACTGAATGACAACTTCAAGTATTTAAGTAAGAGCATACTAACGTATTTGTCAAAATTTAAAACGTTAAATTACCTGAATTAAGATCCAATCAAAGTCATCAGTATCAAGTTGATAGAAAATGCACATGTCGTTCTCCATTTCAAATGTACAACTGATGTCCTCGTCTAGAATTACAGTATAAAGCCAAATTTACTAAAAATTACATTTAGAAATATAACGACATTTACATACACTGAAACCTGGGAAGATCAAGCATATGTTTTAGCTTGAACGAAGTATTTAAGCAAACATGGAAATTTTCAAAGAACATTTTCGGCAAACCTTAATTTTATATATATATATATATATATATATATATATACAAGTGCGCAGGTATGCAGAAAATGGAAAAGAACACATTGGGTGCATAATCCGGAGTTCCTTAGTATTTTTGTTTTTATTTTTAAGACAGTGGTCCATACAGAAATAAAGCTTATATTATAATATTTTTTTGTTTAAAAATATGGTTCCTTCGCTACATAAATTTCTCATGTTTCAAAAACGAGAGCCGAAACCATCCAATTATTAAAATTAAGTTGAATTGAGGCGTTTAGTCCCGTTTCATCTTCAAGCGAATTTTTAGGAATAAGCTATCTCTTGGTTTACGTGTGTTTTTAGGCATGGTTCGTTATAACATTCGTTATTGTGGGAGTGGCTAGGCGAGTTATATTCGTTAAGTGGTCAGGGAGTTATCTGTAGATTCTTCATCTTCTGAGAGGTTTTGCTCAGGTTGGGTAAGGTATCTATTTCAAGGCTAATATTAACGGCCATCGTCTAGTTAGTTTCCAGTGAGGGATATTTTTATGGCGCGCCTACAAGTCATTATGTGTCGGGAAGACATTGTTTTGTTGTTGTCTATCTGATCATCTCTTTATTTGATTATTCAAGTGGGTGTTTTATATACAAACCGTA